TTATTTTTCCTAGCATTTATGACTTTCAAATATCCTATATATTTCATTTATTTGTTTGAATTTTATACCTGTATATCCCACCACAATGTGTTCTCCATGAAGACAGTTTTTTTCTGTTTACAGCTGCTGTTATTTGTACATCTAAACCTATGCCTGGTACCTAGTAGACACATAAGAAGTATTTTGTTGATTGAATTAATTAATCCTTTCTCTAGAAGTAGCTACTCTAACCAACTCGAAAGTCCTTGAATGTGTTCCAGATGTCGAAGGGCAGAAGTTGAGATGTAGGACCAGAGGTTTTCAAAATATAAATCCTAGCAATTGCCATAGTAATTCAGACTGTAGACCCTTCATATCATTTTGATGGGATGAATGTGATGGCAGGGCCAGCTGTTCTTGACATCTGCCTCACAGGTTGGGGATCATCATTCATTCATTCAACCAGACAGGCAGAGAATCAGTCTTTTATCAATAATAAGCTCTGGGGATAAAAAGCTAAACAAGACATGCAGGTCCATACCCTCATAAATCTTGTCATCCATAACTAGATCAACATTTTTTGGGGAAATTATTTATCTTTTCAGCCTGTTTCAACTCTGCGAAGAAGCATTCCTTAGCTTTACTACTTGCTTTATAACATAATTTTGCTGCTAGAGCCGTAAGTGAGTTTTTCAAGGTGAAGCCTGCTGCCACGGTGGCCTCCTCAGGCCCCAGGGATGAGGTTGAGCTTCTTTTTTAAAGATTTTTATTGGGGAATTGGGGGGATGGGAACAGCGCTGGGGAATTGGGGGAAGGGGAACAGACAAGTTGCAGTCCTTTTGTTCTTCAGTCTAGTTGTGGAGGACGTTGCTTCACTGGCCCAAGTTGGCACCATCATTGCGCTCTTCCCGGGTGAGGCAGATCAGGCGCCGGCTTCTGGACCACTGCTCACTGTGGCTGCTGGCTGCTCACGCTGGCTGCTGGCTACACATGGTAGTCCATGGCAACCCACTGACACAGGGGCTGCAGCCTACGCCATCGCCGGCGACTCATGGCAGCCCAGCTCCAGGTTGAGCTGTTGTTCAGCATCTTAGCTGTAGAGGGCAGTGTCACTGGCCCTCATATGTGGGATCCGAACCGGGGCCCTCTGGCGTCCCAAGCCAGCTCTTAACCATCGCACCACTCAGCTGGCCTGAGGTTGAGCTTCTTGTCAAAGCGGGTCTTTGGTGCTACTCGTGGTTCACTGTCAAAATCATATGTTCCTTTTAACTTTCAGGGAAACTTTTTCTTTTAGTGGTGACATGTGGTCAATGATGCTGGAACAATATGTGAGAAAGATAGAGTACAGGTATATATGATGGAGAAGAAAATGGATAGATGCATGCATACAATGTCAAAGGGATAGTAGACTGGGGGGGGTTATCACTTTGTGAGGGGTATAAATGTCTAGTCATCATGTTGTTTAGTATGCCTGAAACTAAAAAAGAAAAGGAGTACAGATTGCCAGTTATAAAAATAGTTACAGGATGTAAAGTACAGCATAGGGAATATAGTCAATAATATTGTAATAAATATGTATGGTGTCAGATGGGTACTAGACTTATCTGGGTGATCACTTTGTAAGGTATATAAATGTTGAATCACTATGTTATATACCTGAAACTAATATAATATTGTATGTCAACTGTAATTGAACAATAAGTTTTAGAAAAAAGAAAATGGATAGAAAATATTAGACTTGAAAAGTGTCTCTTTCTGTTTTTTCTGCTGCCTACTCTCATCCCTTCTGTGATAACAGGTCTATAATGATAATGGTGAGCATATCACTAGTACCCTGTATTAATTTCTTCCACCATCACATCCTAGAGAATGAGGGAGATGTCAGGAACTTAGTGGCTCTTTAATGTATGACTTAACAACAGTATATGTGAAAAGAATAAAGAATGTTGGTCTATTGTAAAGTCAGAGTGAGTCAGCAATGAGATGAGGCTGTTTGAAAGGAAGCAACAATTATGTCCCAAGTGACGCTGGTGATGGTCCCCTCACCTGAGCTGATGTGGCAACCCCTGGGACCCTGTGCTTGAGGAAACACGGAGTAGACAGGAATATACCCAGGGTGAGGGCGCTCAAAACTGCTTCACATGAGGAGCAGTTAAAAGAACTGGGGATGTTTATTTTAGAGAAGACTCAGAAGGACCATAAGCTCCATCTTCAAATGATGGAAGGGCTCTCTCTCTGGGAGAGGCAGTAGAGCATTCTGGAACTTCAGATCTTGGAGCAAGGATGATTGGGTGGAGGGACTTCCTACAGTTGGGGGTATTCAAAGATGGCCACCTGGAGAGCTGCCTGTGAGCCTCACTGCCTGATCCCTTAGGATGAGTGCAAATCCTGATTTGTACCAGATGAGCTCAGATACCTAATGAAGCCAGCCTAGGGCTGTAAACAGATATGCCAACCAGGTAGGAGAGAAAATGACAGCTTTAATTTGGGGCCATCTTCTGTGATCCTCCTTTCCCCAATTTGCCTTTAGTCGGCTTTTATTTTTCTGCTCCCTTAAAATATTTTCCCATACCTATTGACCAAAGAATTCAAATTTTTAGAGCTTGTATTATAGGAATAAAAATAGAAGCATTTAATGATACGTGCACAAAGATTTATCTACATATTAGAATTGCTTGAATTGAGAAATTGTAGAAACAGCCTGAATGATGATTAAAAGAGAAGAGTGGAAGTAGTGGAGTAAATTCTGGTGTATCCATAGTATAAACTATTACACAATTATCGATATTATAGATCTACCGTCCTGGAGGGATGGGCAGAATATAGAGTTAAGTGAGAAAAGCAAGTGAAACATCTGTAGTATGATCTTGTTTTGTGAGAATGAATTATATAAAAAAAATCCCTCACATGTGTAATCATTTGGCATGTATTTAGGTGAGGATGGTAAAAGGGGAGGAAAAATATAAATGAAGTTATTAACATTCGTGGAGAGTTTGGGGTGGGGTGGGGACCTCAGGGACAGAAAGGGCTCGAATAGAGACAAAGTGAAGGAAGGTGAAATGGTTTTATCTACCTGTCTATCATCTATCTATCTTATCTATCTATCTATCTATCTATCTATCTATCTATCTATCTATCTATCTATCTATCTATCTATCTATCATCTATATCTATCTATCTATCTGTCTGTCTATCTATCTATCTATCATCTATCATCTATCATCTATATCTATCTATCTGTCTATTTATCTATCTATCTATCATCTATCTAATCTTCATTGGTTGTGCTTAAACATGTATTAATTTTGAGGACTTTAATGAAAGGAGAGAAGGAGTAAACTTATGTTATTTCCATTTTCTTGCTCTGTTGTTCTTCTCTTATAAAAACTGTCTCATCCTTTCTATTAAGGACAATTCAGACGGTTTATAATAAAAAACCCATTAGTTTTAATCCTTTAAATGAAGGTGATAATTTATACAAAAGAAATCTGGGGAATGTGTTAAGATATTTTGAGTCAAAACTGAATTTCTAGATGTCATGAAAGATAAATGACTTAAGAGGCATTTGCATTTTTCTTCGTTGTTTATTCACTGTGTAGGAGGTGTCCATTTTCTCCTAGCCTTCCAGAAAAATGTTTCCTTTCTTAAATCTGGGGAACACAGGGTTGGGTAGGGGCACCTAACTCAGTTAAGAAGTTTGCTAGTTCCTGGTGAGAAGGAAAGCATTGAATGGAGAGTTCTAGGTGGTGGTGGGTGGGGTGTGTGTGTGTGTGTGTGTGTGTGTGTGTGTGTGTGTGGTGTATTTTTAATTAGTTTTTCTTTTCTGTGATAGCCAGCAAAATACTGCTGTTCTCCTGTGATTTGGATGCTTTCTTTCAAATTATTTTTAAGAATTGTTTTCAATATTAAATTATCCTCATTATGCATTCATATTTGATGCTGATAGTACTTTCTACATAAAGAATTTGTCTACATACAGAATAGCCCTAGACATTGTAGAGTTGGCGGGTGATTTATCCCCTGCTTATCATGAAAGGAGGCTTGGGGGAGAACGGGATGCTGTTTCATAGTCACATTTGGATGTAGGCTCAGAGCTGACCCTGAGTAGCCATACTGATACAAAGGCAAGAAATGAGTGGGTATGTCAGATCTATAGAAATAGTAACACTAACCATCATATTTCGTTGATTATAATATGCTCATTTTATATGCTAACTGAAATCTGAAGGTATCTTGCTATGCTTGTGTGCACTTATTAGGTTAATATTGCAAGTCAACAGCGGTCTTCTAATTAAAGGTGTCAGAAATCCTGTAGAATCCCGTTAGCTGGTCATTGAGTTCTGAATCTTTAATGCAATTAGACCATTCCAGAATCATGAGTCTCAAGCAGAATTTCAGCCTGCATAGTGTTATCTTGATTCACACAAATCAGGAAGTTCTAGAAGTGTTTCTTTTCACATAATTGACTACCTCCTAAATAGGTAATAACTAAAATAGTACAAAAATATGCAAAGTAGGATGGATGTGTGGTTGACTCCATTTTTTAAATCTTGATTTTAATTCAAAGGCACCATCACTTGGGGAAAACTAGTCATGTGCAGTGACATTTTTCCACCTCATAGGCTACAAAGTATTTTACTAGGCCAGAAACCTGAATGGTGTTTATGGGCAATTTGTCACAGGGGGTGGTGGGAAGGATCAGAAGAGAAAATGTGATCTGAAGCTGTGACCCGCAGAGAAAGAAGGAATAAAGGGGAGCTGTGATGTGGAAAGATGTGCCAAGAGACTAGACTGCCTGTTTCCTGCATTTGCTTTGGGCGTCCTGTCAAGAGTTTTGAGTTTTGTTGTCACTGGTGTTTTGTTTCCTTGGGCATGATATCTGCTTCTTTCAGAAAATCACCCTGTCCCCTGTCCCCATCCCCCAGGCTGGGCTGTAAGGCTTCATGGCTGACTTTCCCGTGTGTGTTCGAGTCCACAGTGTTTTGCTGCTTTTCTCATGCCTTTTCTTTATGATGTTTCAGCTCATCCACCATACACCATGTGCTTTAGAGTGAAATTCTACCCACACGAACCCTTGAAGATTAAAGAAGAGCTCACAAGGTATTTTTCGTTTGTTTTATGTTTAACGTGCGCCTTTAACCGGCCTGGCCTCTGAGTCTTATAGGTTAGGTATACCTCTTCTCTAGAGCAGAACATCTCAACGAAGCCAGCGTTCAACTCAGCATTCTGGCTTGGAATGTTTCTCTTGCAGTTAATTGACCCAGGATTTTTCAAACACTTGTCATTGGGAGTATAATTAACTGCACAAAAAGCAGCGGTTATAAGGAGGAGGTACTCTCTGAAAACATCTGACAGTGGGGTGCTAAAAATAAATAGAAGATGACTGTCTTTAGGATATGGGCAAATTCACAGCGAGTGCAGCCCCTAGGGCCTATCTTTGAGTTCAAGTTTTTCTGGGAGGGAGAGGATCACTTGATAGAATGGACTGTTTGTCATCCTACATTCCGCTTGCTAAATGACCGACTGGGGGGGGGGTGGCTTCCCTCTCCTTATAGACTCTTCTCAGTCCAATTCTCTGAATTATCCAGTTGTTGGGCCTCCTCCCTTCGTCTCCCTCTGCTGGGGCCACATTCAGTCCACCTTCTGGGGGCTTTGCTTCCGTGAATAGCCTTGGCCAGTGCAGCTGAGCAGGGTCCTGGAAGGGCCAACTTTGTGGATGGAGCAGAGGAATTCTGTGCTTAGCTCTTGATGAGGCTCTGATTTGGTGACTGCAAAAATCATTCTGCGTAATCATCTCTCAAAATAACCTACATAGGTACAAAATGCAACAGAGCAGCAAGTGCAGTTTGCCGATCATTTGCAGGGGGATGTGTGGGGTTCTTGGATATTTTGCTTTCTCATTATTCATGAATGTCTGCTAAAGCTTGACCATATTGACATTAAGGTGATGTTGGAAGGGAGCAGATAGTTCTGTTCTCCTTGATTTATTTGCACACAGCCATTTGGTGAGGTTTGTGCTTGGGGGCGGGGTCAGGGTGTAGGTGTGGAAAGGAGGAATGCATAGATAGTGGACATTATAAGTAGCCGTTGGTATTTTGCAATCTGGCCTGCTTTTTGTTTTTTTAATTGAGGTAAAATTCACGTAACAAAATTATTTCCACCATTTCAAAGTGGACAATTCATTGACATTAAGTACATTCACAGTGTTAGGCAACCATTACCACTATCTAGTTTTTGAACATTTTCTCATCATTTCCCCCCCTGCCCCCCAAAAAAGAAAAACTGTACCTATTAGCAGTCACTACACAGCCCCTCCCCCAGTGATTAGCAATCACTAATCTACTTTCTGTCTCTATGGATTTACCTGTTCTGGACATTTCATATAACTGGAATCGTATAATGTTTGGCTGGTTTTTGGCTTGAAAAATTTATTCATTTATTTGATAAAATCTTCCTCAATTCCTACTCTGTGCATAGCCCAGAATGCAGGGGCTGTATGCGCTAACACACACACACACACACACACACACACACACACACACACACACACATATTTGTCCTGCTCTCTGGGTACTAAAAGTATAATTAGGAAGATCCTCCAGGGGCCAAAATAGCTCATTTTTTTTTCATTTGTTTTCTTCATAATCTTGTCTGGAGGACAAAAATTGATGTGTGTCACAATAAAAATTATCAATGGATCTTTTGTTGTTGAGAAAAGTCCCATTTGAAACTAAAAGAGAACAAAGTATTAGCTAATAACCCTAGTTAAATCTCTCTCAATTAAACTTGCTAGTATTTGCATGCATTTGACTGAATAGGTAAGGTATGAATAGTGGAAAATTGTGAACATTTTTATGTCTCCTAAGGAAATTAGGATAATGCTGTGTCCTTGCACAGGTAGAAATGGTCTTTTCTTAGTATAGTCCTTAGAATTCAAAACGAATCTAGAAACTGTGGAATGCCCCAGGTACTTAGGGTTTAAACCCTATCTTGAAAGAATTTAGTTTTTCTTGTTAGATGAATTGTTATTTTATTCTAAGATTAATCTAAAATTTAAGAATTGAACATATGAAAAGTTAAGATCACACTCATGACCATGCTTAGGGGTAAAGAAACATTGAGAAAAAGCTAGGTTTAAAGAGCAAAACAACACAAATACTCACAAACAAGGATATTTGAAATCATTTTTTACCTTTCCTTTCTCTCTCCATTTGCATAGTTATCTTAACAGTGTTTTAGAATTCTGGGACTTTTGTAAACGTATACAACTGAATGTAATCAAAGTATATTGGTTTTAATTGTTTTTAGTCAGAATCATCTTTAAATTCAGGCTAGTAGAGGAGCTTTATCATTAATGGTAGCATAACAATGTAAGCCCCAGATCCTTTTGTGCTTTTGTTGCATAATCCTTTCATGCAGGTGTGATATGGAAGAAAGATGCATTATCATTATTGGTAGCTATTGTATTAAAAAAAAAATGAGTGTCTGAACCTGAAGCCATTTGTAAGGCTCAGTGGATTATGTTGAATCCACAATAATCCATGAGTATTGCTAGAGGTCACTGATACGAGCAAGGACCGAGGCTCAGCTGTTGTGAAAGCTGGTTTTTCTTTCTCAGAAAGATTTTGTCAAACTTGATTTCTGATTGATGGGACTGGAACCCAAATCTCTCATCTATCAGTAAGTAGTTATTTGAAACTCTTTTTTTTTTGATGACTGAACTCATCAAAAAGTGGAAAGGAATGCTTTCTGTTCAATGCATACATTTAGCAAGTAGAAACGTTGTGGCATTTGGCCTGGCAGTTTACATTTTTCTTTTACAAAAAAAAGATTTGATCATTTCAACTATTTGTGCAGCCTTGATATTCTACATGGCTTAGGGCCGAGGTTTGCACGGTGAGGTCCCCTGACCGGCGTCAGCATCTCCTGGGAATTTGGTTGCTGCCTTTGGCGGGGCTCAGCAATCTGTATTTTCATAAGCACTCCAGGTGATTTTAAAGCATATCAAAATTTGAGAACCACAACTCTAAGGCAGTTTGGATTTTCAAAAGTATTGGTTTCTTTTGGCAGATATTATAGTGTACACTTAAATGGGTTTAGTATGGTCACAAAATTGTGCCTCCATCACCATGCTCTAATTCCAGAACATTTTTATCACCCTGGTGGTAAACCCAGTACCCAAGCACTCATTCCCTATTCTCCCCTCCCTCAAGCACTGGCAGCCTCTAATTTACTTTCTGTCTATAGATTTACTATTCTAGACACTTCCTATAAATGGAATCATATATGTGGTATTTTGTGACTAGCAGTTTTTCACTTAGCATAATATTTCCAACTTTCATCCATGAATGAGTACTTCATTCCCTTTATGGCAGAATAATATTCCATTGTACGGATATCCACATTTCTTTGGTACCTTCATCAGTTGATAGGCATTTTGGTTTTTTTTCATTTTTTAGCTACTATGAATAATGCTGCTGTGAACATTCGTGTATGCATTTCTGTGAGGCTCCAGGTTCTGATTTATTTGGGTCTGGGGTGGGGTCCACAGCATTAGAGTTGTTTAATGGCTCCCCCAGTGATTCTAACATGCAGTCAGGGCTGAGAACCCCGGACTTAGAACCTTAATACTCAAAGTGTGGTCCATGGACCGTCAGCCCAGAATCACTGGAGAGCTTATTAGAAATATGGACCCTCATGCTCCACCCAGACCTGCTGAAAATCAGAAGCCACATTCTAACACGATCTCCAGGTAATTCACGTGCTCATTAAAGTGTGAGAGGCACTGGTTCAGGGAGCTACTCTGGGTCTGTGTCTACCAGGCGTAACGTTGTTCCTCTGACAAAGTGCACTGCCATCTCTGAACCAGAAATGCATTAGGGTCTGCCTTTATCCCCTGTACTCAAGGCCATACAAAACTGGGGACGGAGAGTCTCATTTGAGCCTGTACCACGTCTCCAGTGTCTAGCATAGTGTACAGCACAAAGCAGGTGTGAGATGTCGATGTGTCCAATGGAAACACCAGTGAGCCACTAAACCCTTCAGTGTGTCCAGTACTTTCAGTGAACCAGTGCCTAGAAACGGTGAGCTCCACTGGCTGCAGCTGTGTGATCTTAGCACATTAATCACCCTCTCTGATCCCCCATTTCTTAGCCGTTAACATGGAATCATGCATATGGCTACTCACAGGCTGAATAAGCATCAGGTTATTTGAGCATTGGAGGTGGTCACTGGGACTGATTGAGTGGTGTCCCTACTCTATCCCGAGAGCATGGACAGAGAAAAGATTGGTCTCTGAGGGTCAAACTCTAAAATAACCACAGAAAGAATCTTCATGCATCTGCAAAGTGACTTTAGTCAGAAACAATAGGCCCCGGGCCTGAACCTTGAATGAAAGTGTCCACCTGGCTAAGAAAGGTGAGGAAATCTGAAGAAGGCACCGAGACAGAGTGAGCCTGAGCCAGAGGTTGTCCATGGCAGGTCCCTCTCCCCTGGCTGACTTGGGCTCGTGTTTATTTTTTGATTGGCGCTATAGTGTTTTTAAAAAAACAGAATTTGTTGCAACATTAAAAATTCAAAGGATTTTACTTTGTTGACAAAAGAAATTGCAAACCTTAAGAAAGGTTTAAAGAGTTTATTATGAGCCAAGGTTTTGAGGTTAGTCCTGAAAGCAAAGTCTCAAGGGGCTGAGATAATGCTGTAGGGAAGAGCAATTTTGCAGTTTATACATTAGAATCAGAGGAGAAAACATAAGAAAGGTTTACATGAAATCCATTGGTGGCAGATTAAGGTGGGAGGAAGCAGGGAAATCTCTTAAGACTGGATATAAAGTAAAATGGCGAGATACATGTTTCTTTTACACTGGTGGGTGCAGGATAGTTAACATTTAACATATTAATACATAGGTTACAGGAGGTATGTGGGTAAAAATAATATTGAGGAATGGTTGGAATTGTCTCACCCCTTACTGGGTATTTACATTTGGCGTTCTGGAGAAGAGATCGTGCTGACATTTTAAGCATGTTATTGTAGTTGCACAAAAACAATGGACAGGGCTTGCTCAAGGTAGAGCATATTGGCCTTAGGATGTGACCTCCCACCATAACCCATTCAGTTAGGAATCTCTTATGATCAAAACATCCCGTGTGGTTACTTGTAGCTATTAAATTGTCATGCTTGCCAAGGTAGTCTCTTGTTTACAACTTCTAAATTTAGTCTCTTTGATTTTCTGGAAAAGCTAGATGCATTTGGCCTGCTTTTCTATGTGGCATGGGGTGGAGCTGTGTAGCGGCTGACCCCTTTCTGGGGGCCAGTGCACTCTATTCTGCTTCCCCCCACCACCTTACGCTAGCTCATTTCACTCATTGTCAGGTTTGCCTGGCTCCAAAGGCATCTGAATTTGCTGTTCCTGTAGAGGACGAGAGGACATTCTAGTTATGAATAAATTGGCCTTCAGGCCTCATAACCAGTCTTTTTGAGATTGATTAATGGGAGTTTGTGTCCCTGAGACTCGTCTCTGTATACCGATTGAGTCCGTTTCCTGACTCTCTGTTTCACAGAGAACCTGGGCAGCATGTACCTGAAGTGCAGGCGATGGTGACCGTAACTGTGGTTGTCATCGTCTGTGACTTCCTGCCAGGGACAGTGGCTGCTGGCCTAATGGCTTTTCTTGGTCTCTTTGAAAAGGACCAGCCACTCTGCTTTGGAAGCTGCCACAGACACTTCAGATTTTCCAAATTCAGAGGGTCCCTCAGTGTTCCTCTGCTTGCCTTCCAGGGGACGTGGCATGTCTTGACCACTCCTTGGCCCTGGGTAGGGCTCTGGTGACACAGGTGGATAAAGCGTGAACAGTTTTTGTGCTTCTCCCAAGCCTTCGCCAAAACTTAGGGCAACTTTCTCCTTTTGTATTCCAGGTACCTTTTGTACCTGCAAATTAAAAGAGATATTTTCCATGGTCGACTGCTCTGCTCCTTCTCAGATGCTGCTTACCTGGGTGCCTGTATTGTTCAAGGTAAGTGTGGCTGAGGCAGCCCACCCCCACCATTGCACTGGACAGTAGAGCTCTGGTTGTTCAGAACCTCCCACCTGCCCTACCTGTGCCCATCCAGCCCATGTCCATGGTTTGAGGCCAGGCAGGGCTGGGTACTCAGCAACAGAGCCCCTGGTTACCTTCCCTCCCAAGCCTGTGGGGTCCTGATGGAAGGGTGGGCTGCTGTGGTCACAGGGGCCTCTGCAAAAACAAGAGGGTCCTCAAAGCCCCATGTTAGAGCCCAGAGTCTCTCTTTCAGTGGGGACAGAATGTGTGACTTTATGTGGCGCTCTGAAAGGATGTGGGGTGTTCTATGCTCTGTGTTCTGACCGCCAGCTATGGGGCCTAATGGGTTATGCTGAGGGGGGGAAAATATGTCCAGGAAGGTAGGTGTCAATTTAAACACTTGAAATGAAATGTCAAAAGCATTTATTTGCATACATATGTGCACATGTGTGCACGTGTGCATGCTTGTGTGTATGTATATATTCACATGGGTACATGTACACTGTATCTAACGAACTCTTCATCTTTTCTAGTCATGTAGCATTGGTGAGGAGGGCACCAGGCTCACAGACTACCACTCAGGTGTTCTGTTTCAGGCCAGTCAGGAGGCCATTTGTAGCATGAATGCTAATAATATATTTATGAGACGAGGGGAGGGCAGGGAGGGGAATTAGGAGAAGAGAGAGAGTGGGGGGGAGAGGGGGAGAGGGGAAGAGAGGGAGAGAGGGAGAGAGAAAACACCAAGTGAGCATGTCACCATTATAAAGAGTCTGGAATAATGAAGGAGCCAGTTATTTGCCTATCACAATTCTAAGCTTCATTCACAGCTTAAGAGAGACATCCATCATTCTCCCAGCGGTGTAACAGGCAGACTTGTCCCTGTGTGATGCTCTGTGCTGTGAAACAGTTCTTGGATCCTGTTTCCAGGGCTCCCTGAACATTCTGGAATGTGTCTGTGTTGCTTTCCCCCTACCCCTGGGAGCAACCTAGTGCTGCATAGCCGATTTAGGCAGAGGTGTGAAAACCTTTGGAGAGATTTAAGTTTAAAGTCAGAGCTACAGTGATACCATGATGGGAAATAGTCCTTCCATCTGCCCTGAAGTGGAATATGTGCTTCCAAAAGCCGCCTCTTTTACATCAGAGAGAAGAGAGGTGAAAACCCCACAGTTCTCCCCGTTCCCTGTGAAGACCGCGAATTCCTAGTCAGGGTGCACACCGTCTTCCATAAGGGAAAATGGATCGATATTAATCCAAGCAGCAGACCTGCACGTGAGGATATCAGAACACGTTTAGGCATTTAGAGTAATGGTTAGTTCTCCAAGGGCAAGCTCAACATGGATGCATAATGGGAAAGTATCCTGTGTTAACATACAGCCACAAAGGCTCCGTGCAGATCATGGGGCCCTGTTTTATCCCTCCTCACTGTTTTCACTGAGCACACACATCAGTCCTGTGGAAAAAGTAGAGTTGCAAATGGACTGCAGACCTCGAAAGGACCTTTCAGCTCAAAAATGCAGCGGTGTCCATGGGCCCTGTGCAGCAAATCCAGTAAAAGCGTATTCTTAAGTTCTCTGTTGCTTGGGGGGGGATACCTTAGCAGCTGTAGAGATCATTACAAATGCAGATAAAGATCTGCTTTGTCGGAACTACTTCCCCAGAGAGAGTGATAGGGAATGTGGAGTAAATAATTACAAAGCAGGAAGCCATGTGACTTATCATTTGGCTTCTCCTTTGCTAACACTCTTTGAAGGAGCATGTTTTAAGCTCCTGCATATTCTGAGTGTGTGAAAAACAGGCAGCCACCCAGAGTTTTGCTACCTGTACGCACTGAATACAAAGCATATTCAATACATGCCATGCATTTTTTTTTTCATAAATAGCAACTGCAAAACAAACACACAGAACCCTAGGGATCTATTTCTATCCTTTCTCGGTAAAAATATTTTTCCTGTTCCTTCTGCAAAAGAGCAACAGGGCGGGATTATGGTTCTCATCTCCTCTGCCTCGTGTGTTCAACTCCTGAGGGCTTTATGGCTCTTTCTCAGAGCTCAGTGCAGAAGTCGCTTCCTCTGAGAAGTCTTCCTGGACTACTGAAGTCGCCTCCCTCCTGCACATCATCCTTTCTCACACCTGTTTTGTTATTCTTTAAGCACTTACTCGTGTATCTGGATGGACCTTGTTGAGTTGTTTCTGGACTTATTATGCATCCCCCTCCTCCCCTGCCCCGACTGCCACCCCCTGGTGTAGACTCTAAATTCCATGGAAGGTAGGACTCTGGGTACCTTTTGGACTGCAGTACCTCTGTGTCTGGCACACAGTAAATTCTCCACTAAATGTGTTAAGCGAACCAGGGTGCTTGCCTACATTGCACCAACATAGGCTTTATTTCTATACTTGGGAAAGAGTGATTGGTTCGCTGCCTTATTTATTTGTTCACGTGTTTCCTGAACATTTACTGAACAGCTGCTAGGTGGCAGGCACTGCAGTACAAAGTCCCTGAGGGTGGGAGAGGGCCGGAGACAGACAAGTAAATAGGCATTTGTGATGACATGTTAATGGCTGGGTAGAGAGTCGCACCTTCCTGCTGCCACCTCAGAGAGCCCTGAAGGAACAGGCCCTGGAGGTGTAACATCCTGTATCTCAAGTTCTTTGACACAGTGGGATGAGTCCTCTCCACACCAGGGGACATGCCCGTAGCCAGGGTTGCCCTTTCTACTTACCATCATCTGGTCACACTAATCCTTTTGCTCCAACTCTTTGGGTGTTTTGGACAGTTAAATTCTCTTAGAAATGTGTAGGGCCTGTTTCAACTCACAAGCCATCCAATGTGCTTTATGCTATTTGTCACAACTTGACTCTCAATGTCATGTGTGGAAGAGAGAAGAAGCCCAAGCTGCTTACCCAGCTTCCCTTAGTATGGGAAACAAAATTGGAAGAGTTAGAAATCCTCAATCATTCATAAACTGCCTTTTGCTTCAGGTGAAGTCAGAGTTAAAGATAAGTTTTAAGGGGCAAGAAAGCAGGGCCTGTGATGGGGGCAGTGTTGGCATTTACCTTGTCACTTACCCTGTGTGGGCCCTGTGGCATTTCTTCTCTTAGATTTCTGACATTTCCCAGGATCCTAATTTGCAGCATTGAGCAGAACAAGTCCATTGACCTCACAAGTTTTCCTGCAAAGACAAGTGCCCCCCACAAACATCACCGTCCCTTACCAGCCACTATGCAAACAAACTTTTGAATTGAAGACAACCCAGCTTCCTATTAGGGGTCCATTCCCCATGAAACATGGTGATATTGGGTTGTACCATCTCCTAAACTTTAGGCCCTCAGTCAGCTCACAGGGGTGCGCGCGCGCGCGCGCGCGCGCGTGTGTGTGTGTGTGTGTGTGTGTGTGTGTGTGTGTTATGTGTGTTTCTTTTGAAACTTACTATAGGTTGAGTTAATCATCGGTTCATAGCCCATTCTCATCATTCATCCCTTTGGAATCATCTATAGATTGATTGATTCATTTCCCTTTTTTCACTATTCTCCATTTCCATTCCTAAAGCTACAAATGAGTTCATACAGATCTTTGACTTTGGATACGACCTTATAAAATGATTTGTGCGTATATACTATTAAGTTTTATAAATTAAATGGGGCTGTAGAACTTATTTCCTTCCTTTTTATACTCAGAGCACTCTTTGGGGGGATCTATTCACACTGCTGGGCATACATCTATTTTGTTGATTTTAATTGCTACAGAGTGTCCAGAGGGTGCATTACCATGTTTATTTATTGCTCCCACCAACGACGAACACTCAAGTTGCCTCCATATCCTTTTTGTGCACCTAGAGTTTTTCTAGAATATGTGTCCAGAAGTGGGATTCCTGGATCATATATTTGACTAAATACTCTCTGCTTGTTCTCTAAAAGAGCTACATGCATCAAGAGTCCTTCAGAAGTGTACAAGTATTTCCATTTTCTCAAGTCTCTGCCAACACGCAGAATCATCTGACTTCCTAAACTTTTTGCCAATCTTATAGGTGTAAAATGATGTCTAGTTGTTGGGTTTGCAAAGCTCTGATTACTGATGAGTTTGAGCATGTTTTCATACACCAGTCCTTTGTGTTTCCCCTTCTGTGAACTGGCTGTTTTACATCTTTTGACCATTTTCCTATTGGTCTTCCTGCCCATTTTCATGTTGATTTATAGGGATTTCTTCATTATTCTAGATATTAGCCCCTGCCAACTTTAGATTTGGCAAATATATTCTTTCAGCTTGTCATCTATTATTTTGATTATGATGTCCTTTAATGAATAGAAATATTTAAATTTTGATATGCTCAAATTAATCAGTTTCCCATCTATAGTTGATAGTATTTTGGGTCTTATTTTAAAAGTTCTCCCCTGTGTGATATACATTTTAGGTTGTTTTAAGAACTCTGTAATTTGAATTCTATTGAAAAGCTTTAAAGAGCTTTGCTTTACTCCCAGTTTTGTCCTGTTACAGTCATTAGATGATTCAACAATGAAGGGACAGCAGGTACAAATTACAGAGTTGGATGTGATTTTGCAGATGTGCTCCCCAGCCTATTGATTTTTTATCTATCTCAAAGTCATGGTGGTGGTTAAGTCTTTATAATACAATTTTCCTACCATCTTTGGTCTACTCTCCTGGGTCCATTTCTGCCTGAGACACTTGCCCCTTCCGGCTCATTTTCCTTATCAAGCTTATGGAATTAGTAGAATGTATTCCCACTGCCAGAGCATCACCTTTGCTGTTGTAGTCTGTGGTCCATACAGATCCTAGGTCCATCCTCTCCCACACTCCCTCTGAGTGCTCAGAGATGTGCAGACATTTCTTTTTATACTTAAAGACCCTCCAGAGGCGCCCTGTATTAGAATCCAGCAACAACCTTCATCGGGTATGCTCATCTATACTTTCATGCACACTTTAATTTGAAGAGCAATCCATTTATTTTTAAGTGCGATCCTCTTGGGGTGCCTTCATGTTGTGATTTTTCACTGAATGAGCCACACCTACACAAATCTCAGAGCAGGCAGCTCCAGCAAGGGAACTCCTAGACTCAGGGGAAATTAGCTATGAAAGGAACCTTGAGGGACATCCAGTGGTTTCCAATTGGCTGTACCACCTTCTATCCTGGGGAGCATTTGGAAATATTGGGGGTTGTGTGGCATTTTTGGTCATCACAGTGACTGAGTATGTCATTAGCACATAGTACCTGAAGAGAAGGGGTGCTAAATGTGATACCATGCATTGGAAGGTATGAAACAATGTTTAGCCCCAATAGTGCCTTTTAAGAAACAAATAATGCCAGTAGCGCCCCCTTGAGAAACAATGATTTAAATTCCTTTATTGTATAGATGAGGAAAATGAGACTGGGAAAGATTGACAAGCGCCCAAGCTCACGCAGCTAGATCTGAACTAGAATATAAGCTTCTAGACACTCAAGCTGTGGTCTTTCCATGGATGTGAATTCATTTTGTTGGGTGAGCTTATTCCAAGCTCTTCTTTTGGGCAGCAGGCGCTATTCCGTGTGTACTCTCTCCTTGTTGTTTTTAATCTTTCTCTCGCTCTTTATTTTTTACTGCTTACAGCTGAGCTTGGTGATTACGATCCTGATGAGCATCCTGAGAATTACATCAGTGAGTTTGAGATTTTCCCCAAGCAGTCACAGAAGCTGGAAAGAAAAATAGCAGAAATCCATAAAAATGAACTCAGGTAATAGGGGTAGATATTTGTAAGAATGGTAGAGGTGCCAAGGTATTCTTACTGGGGGGGATGTGCGAACCATGTGAAGTAAGGATATTTGTAATGTGCGGGCAGACTGTTTCAGGTGGCAGAGCTGTATTTCTGGGTACTGCCAAGGTCCTCCATTAATAATAGTCTCAATAGTGTGGGGTCCCCTGGGTGACTGTTTATGAACCATCAGCAGTTATTAGATCCATATAATTTCTTATGGGTTTTAACCACTCTGACATTCTGAAAGGGAAACCTAGGGTAAATAAGTAATCCTTTCTCTTTTGAAGTTTGCCTGGCCTCTTCCCCTCCTGTGGTCATTGCTGGAAGCCTTGACTCCAAGTAGAGTAAAAAATCCCTCAACAGGGTTTCCTTTGCTGAGCTGGTTTCAGGATGACATTCAGTGCCTGCTCCTTTCTTCCTTGTCTGTGCTGTTCCAGGATGATTGCTAACTATTGGGTTGTCAGAAAACTCATGACGCATTTTTGCAACAAAATCATAGAAAAAATACGTCATGACGTTTCCTACAACCCAATACAAATTAGTAATGGCAGGAGAAGCAAAATGGAATACAGTATTCACTGTGTCCCAGACATTGTTCTAATTACTTGCACATATTGATTCATTTAATCTTCACAACAACCTAGGAGATAGGTGCCATGGTTATTCCCATTTTACAGATGAGGGAGCTGAGGCACAGAGAGAGTAAGCATCTTACCCAAGATTACACAGCTAGCAAGTGGCAGAGGCAGGATTTGAATCCAGGCAGCCAGGCTCCAGAGGCTGTGCTGTCAAGCATTGTGTGACGCTTCCGCCCTGCATAGGCTACTAGGAATGAAATGAAGCATAGCATAGGAGTCATCGACCATTTGGAATTCCGGTAACTTAGGTCTTCTAGTCTGTAACAAGAATTTAGTTGACATACAGGGATAGCTATTGCATTGTTCTGTACACCTGAAACTAATAATTTAAAAAAAATAAAAGAAAAAAAATGTAGATCTGTGCAAATCACAGAAAATTCATTTTGATAATACTAGCAAGCATGGGCTGTGCTGACAAGTATTGATGGAGAACCTCAAGAGCTGAGATGCTTCTATCTTCTGCGCCTTCAGTAATTATAAAAAAATTAGTGTCACTGGATTATGAGTTCTGGAACAAATTACTGTCCCCTTGTGAGGGCATGCTGGAGCTCCCTACTTTATGCAGGCACTCCCCCTTCTGGTGAGCCTGAGAAGAGTGTACATGTGGTCATGAAAGGTGGCAGCACATGTCAGCTTGGAAAACAGGACCTTAGTTCTGAGAGATGAAGATGGTTTGACATCAAGAAATTGCATCAATTGCAGAAAGCAGCATACCATCTCTGCGGTAATTTTAGAGTATTGTCTTCTACTGAAAAGCTTTGTTGAAAATATATGACACTTGGACTACTCTTTTTACATTTTGGGGACAAGCATGCCAGAGGTTAAAAGAAATTTCCAATATCCAGTTGTGGGGTAGATCGACCAGCAGTGTCTGGAGAGCACAGGGTGAGACCTTTTGGACAAAGGAGTGACATCCATTGTGTGACTTGTTAGGAGGGAAGATGGGAATTGAAAGTTGTAAGCAGATTTTGCAGGGCCTCAAGTGCTTGGAGCATATGATAATAGCCAACATTTATTGAACACTTACTGGATGCCAAAACACTGTGCTGAGAGCCCTATGTGCTAATATTACCCCACTCAATCCTCCCAAACCCTGCAAGGTCGGTGCTACTGTGGTTTCTAATCTGAGGTGCAGAAAGCACAACTGTGAGTGGCTCAAGGACTTGCCTTGTTAGGAGTGGAGTCAGGACGTGAACCTTGCTCTTATCTGAAAAGGGAAAAGAGAGATCGGGAAGGTCTTGCTTCAGCTTGGAAGTGATACATGACACTTCATGTAACCACGATGGTCACAACTGGTCACATGGTTCTGCCCAAGAGCAAGGAACTGCGATTCTATGAGGTGTCCAGAAGGTGCAAACTGGAAACAGTTGGCAAATAGCTCTTAAAAGCCTTCACAATATCATTCGTTTTTAAAAATAGACTTTATTTTTTAGAGCAATTTTAGATTCATAGCAAAACTGAGTGGAAGGCACAGAGATTTCCCCGATACCCTCTGCATAGCCTCCCCCATTATCAACGTCCCCCACCAGAGTGGCACATCTGTTACAAATGATGAACCTACATTGACACATTATCACCCACAGTCCATAGTTTACTTCAGGGCTCACTCTTGGTGATGTACATTCTATGAGTTTAAACAATAGTATAATGTCATGCATCTACCAATATAATATCATATAGAATACTTTCACTGCCCTAAAAAACCCTCTGTGTTCTGCTGCTTCATCTCTCCCTCCCCTCCCTACCTTTGGCAACCACTGCTCTTTTTACTGTCTCCATAGTTTTGCCTTTTCCTGAATGTCACATAGTTGGGTCCATACAGTATATAACCTTTTCAGATTGGTTTCTTTCAATTCAAGGATCCTCCATGTCTTTTCCTTGATAGCTCATTTTACTGCTGAATAATAGCCATTGTCCGAATGTACCACCATTTATCCACTCACCTACTGAAGGGTATCTTGGCTGCTTTCAAGTTTTGGCAGTTATGAATGAAGCTGCTATAAACACCCATATGCAGACTTTTGTGTGGACATAAAATTTCAGCTCCTTTGGATAAATACCAAAGAGAGCAATTGCTGGATTGTATGGTTAGAGTATATTTCATTTGGTAAGAAACTACCAACCCATCTTCTAAAGTGGCTGTACCATTTTGCATTCTCACCAGCAAAGAGTGAGAGTTTCTGTTGCTCCTCATCTTTGCCAGCATTTGGTGTTGTCAGTGTTCTGGATTTTGGCCAATCTAACAAGTGTGAAACTAATAGAGTTTTATTTAGAAAGATTTTCTAGAGGTATGTTTGGGCCTGTTAATATCCTGTGAACTCAAGGATGTGGAGATGTATGCTTCACATTATTGAATAGACGTCAGTGCTAAACCCACTGAGGCAGAATGCTGCTTCTAGATCAGGGGAGGTTAATAATTTCTTTCTTTTTTTTTTTCTTTTTTCTTTGTCTTTCTGGGTTGTATAGTCTCTTTTGCAACTACTCAGTTCTGATTTTGTAGAGCAAAAGAATACAAACAATACATAAATGAGTGGGCTGTGAATCAATAAAACTTTATTGGCAAAACAGATGGTAGGGCCAGATTTGACCTACAGGTTCTGGTTTGCTGACCTCTGTTCTAAACACGTGGCAGAGCAGGTCTAACATCAATTTCTGTGTCATTCTTCTGCCTCTGTAAGTAATTTTAAGACAACAAGAGCCACATTTGTTTTGAAAACTGCATGTGAAAAAGAATCTCTTGTAATTTACAGATTTCATTTGAGTTTGGTTTGCAGAGATGAGGTCCTAGCACAAGGACTGCTTTAGACATAGGTCATCCCTCTTTCTGGAGCCCCCTGTTGGCTGGAGGAAGTCATTGCCACAATTCCTGGGGACATGACAGTTCTGTTATTTTTGACTCTTCTTGGTTTCTGTTTTCCACAGCTCTCATCATGGCATCAGGGTTAAGAGGGAGTGCCATTCTATTAATCCTGAGGGTGCATGGAGGGGGTTGAAGATCAGAAATAAGATTGATTTCACTATCAGAAACTCTGCTATGCTTTTTTAAGGCTTTCCTAGGGTTTCTACTCAGCTAGTCTTCTCATCACCAGTTCATCAGGTTTCTTACTAGAGGCAAAGATATTTGGATCAGCTGTAGTCACAGGTCATCAGCTTTTTTTTTTTTTTAAAGATTTTTATTGGAGATTTTGGGGGATGGGAACAGTGCTGGGGAATTGGGGGAAGGGGAACAGACAAGTTGCTGTCCTTTTGTTCTTCAGTCTAGTTGTGGAGGACGTTGCTTCACTGGCCCAAGTTGGCACCATCATTGCGCTCTTCCCAGATGAGGCACATTAGTCGCCAGCTTCTGGACGGCCGCTCACTGCGGCTAATGGCCGCTCACGCTGGCTGCTGGCCGCTCATGCTGGCTGCTGGCTACACACGGTAGCCCATGGCAACCCACTGCCACAGGGGCTGCAGCCTACGCGGCGACTCACGGCAGCCCAGCTCCAGGTTGAGCTGTTGTTCAGCATCTTAGCTGTGGAGGGCAGTGTCACTGGCCCTCATATGTGGGATCCGATCCAGGGCCTCTGGCGTCCCAAGCCAGTTCTTAACCATCGCTCCACTCGGCCGGCCGGTCATCAGCTTTTAAACATTCAAAAAGCTCAATTGGTGGTGAGGTGGTTTTGATGAAGTATAGTAGTTCCTCCTTATCTGTGGTTTTGCTTTCTGCAGTTTGTTACCCATGGTCAACCATGGCCCAAAAATATTAAATGGAAAATTATGGAATAAAAAATTCATAAGTTTTAATTTTCGAGGCATTCTGAATTGCATGATGAAACTTCACACTGTCCTGTTCTGTCCCCTGGGACGTGAATCATCCCTTGATCCAGCATGTCATCTTACATTATCACAAGAAGAAGGATGACTACAGTACAATGAGATATTTTGAGAAAGAGACCAGATTCACATAACTTTCATTGCAGCACATTGTTATAATTATTTCATTTTATTATTAGTTATTGTTGTTCATCTCTTACTGTGCCTAATTTATAAGTTAAACTTTATCCTAGGTATGTATGCATAGGAAAAAACAGTGTATGTAAGGTCCATGGTCTCAGGCATCCCCTGGGGGTCTTGGAATGAATCTCCCATGGATAAGGGGGGACTACTGTATATTCTTTGCCCTTAAAGAGAAGAAAAATCATCCCATTAGCAATCACCATAATGATCTAATGCAGTGAGGTTTGTGCTGAAATCCATAATGACACAGAGTGTATTTTAAACAGAGTCATTATCTCTTTTATTTCTCAAAACTTATATTCTCTGTAAATCATATGCTGTGGCTTCCTGTCAAGGATTTTT